TTACCCCACTTCCTTTGTATATAGCTCCGCCCCTGCTTGCAACAGATATTTTTAATTACTGTTACATTCGTGACGATATTTAAACTCTTGTTACGAATAATTATTCAAATGAAAACGATTATTACTTGAACCAAGTGTTCAATTGCCTTGCTTGACCAGAGAGTATATGGAACTTAATTTTCTTCATGATTTCCATAAAATAAAAGAACATGCCATTAGGTTAAGGGACCCCGGGTGACCCAAGGACCATGCAATGACAGCTCAATCTTAACCTTCTATTAGTTAATACACTATTGGTACTATTCTCTCTATTCATTCATTTTCCCAGGAGGAGGACCCCAAATCATATATAAACCAACTAGTCTGTTGTCTCTTCCACTTCACTGTGATCTCGACCAACAAACCGCTATTCACCCACACACACAACCCACAACATTAAACAATTTACAACCAACAACAAATAATAATAAAAGAAAGAAATTAAAAATCTTCAACTATATATGTACATGTAAATAATACTCCCTCCCCGTCTCACAATTATTATCCAGTTTGAGTTTTCATTTTTAGTTCAAATTGTATTAAATGTGAAATCTCAAACTGAACAATAATTTTGAGACAGAGGAAGTAATTAAATTGAATGAAAGAAGGTTGAGGGAATATTATTCCTTATGGATGTGTATGCACCACTGAATGGACTCAACAGATCTCAAGAACCTCTCAAAATTGTGGTTAATTATCTCTACTTGTATATATAGTCTCCCTTTTCTTTTTCTTTTGGGAGATATCAAAAAGAATGCTACAAGTAATAGCCAGAAGTACAGTTTATTAATTGTATTTATGCTCGCGTTTGTTGGTCAAAAGTGGAGCATCCTTTGTTTGTCGGTCCAGTAAAATAACTGGACTCGTGTACGCAAGTTTAAATGGTTTGACATGTTTTAAGTAAAATCTTATGTGAAAACTGAAAAGTGCTAGCCAAACCATCTTCGGAAAATGGTTGCCCTTAAAAGTCAAAGACGTATTATATAAAGTTGAACTAAAAGAAATGTCGACTGAGAGAATTGCAAACTGTATAACCTTGAAACATAAAATACTGTTGTGTTATCGCCATAATTTTCTACTCCCTCTGCCCTAAAATTTTTATACAGTTTTAATTTTTTACTTTTACTTTAATTTGTACTAAAAATAAAAATTCAAACTAGATAATAATTTCAGGACGGAGAAAGTAGTTTTTTTTTTAGTGAAAATTATACGTACCCGGATTAATATAAGATGGTTACAAAATTATAATGGAAAAAAAGTTATTATTACTAAATTGAGGTTTATAATGAAATAATATTATTTTTAAAAAAATAAAATACTATACTTAGTGTGGAACACTAGAAGCAAAGAATTATAAACTATACAATTATTGGCATGTCAGATCAACCGATACAGAAAGATTATTAGTAAATGACTACTTCACCAAAATCGCTATTCTGTCTCTCACGTTTAAGATCCTTAATTTTTATTTTCTAAAAAACTATTATCATCAAATGGTGCAGGGGGTGGGGGTGGGGTTGGAACGTTGGGTAGATTCCATGGTTGCGAAGGAACGGGGGTTGGACTGTTGTTTTCGTTTCTACCCCCTAAAAGAACAAACAGAAAGCCCACAATTTTTGAGCTACTTACTCCTGCGATTCTAGACCAAAAAAAGAAGGGCAAAAAATAAAAGATATATCTAGAGAAATTTTAAGCATATATTCAAAGATTCCTTTTACTTTAGCACGATAAATTAGCAGTAATATTTGCGTAATTGGTTTGGCATGCCATCTTCCCCCTGTTTTTTTAACTTCGTGCTGGTTTTGCATTAGAATATTCATGATCACGTAATAGTTCATTCGATTAGATATATTCGAAGTTTCTATACGTTATAAATTGTTGCTTTTTTATAACGTTTTAACCGAAAGAGTTCAAAATGCATATTTCTTCTGCATCAAAATACTCCTCCGTCTCAAAATTATAGTACAGATTTGCATCTTCGTTTTAGTTAAAAAAAAAAAATCTAAAATATAGGTTTAAACTGGACAATAATTTTGAGACATGAAAAAGTATTAACAATTCGAAATTCTTTATTCAAAGTAGATGTATGATGTGATTAATGATCTATAATAATAGTTAGTGGGGGTCTAAAACTTGTTTACTTGTCGTCAATTGTGTGCTGCCTTTTCTCTGAAAAGCACATCATACACAAAATGCAATGATTTTATAAATTTTGTGACTGGGACCTAATTCTCACGCACGCACGCACGGCTCCAATCAAAATGGTTATATATCATGAACAGCAACATGATTAACAAAACCCTAACAACTATCTGTTGCTAAAAGCCTGAAAGAGTATTAATTCTATATGTTTGCTAATTGCTACACCTCAGAGTTTAGCTCACATTTCACAACAACAAAAAAAAAAAAATTACACTCCCCGTAACATAATAAAGAATTTTATTGATTGTGTTAAAATAGGTTAATTAGGGTTTGATTCTTATTTTCTGAACGATGGAAGTAAATGCGAAGATATGTAAAGAGAGACAAAAATTCAAAGTAATTAGTCCCTGGTGGAAATTATAAGTTTGATTGTAGAACTATTAATCAGCATGCATCACTTCGTCAAAATTAAATCGTACGTTGTTTCTTCAAGTTGGTTTTACTTTTTCAAAACAAAAACAACTTTCAGCTCGCAGTATTATGGTAACACTAAACACAATTATGTCAGAACCCCTGACGATTTCAATCCATCCACTAGTAGTACACCATTTTTGCCTTTCCGTATTTGATATGCAATCACGTTAATGTACCCTAATTCGCATTCCCAACCATTAATTAATTTTTTTTAAAAAAAAATTATTCATTAGACTGGAAAGTTCGTCACTTTATCTTATGTTACTAAAACGATGTTTTGGTTTGTTTAATTATCAAATATAAAAAAATATTGGAAATAGAGGACAGAATATCCCGTTGCTAATTTGGTACAAAACGGAAACAAAACACGAAATGAGAAAAGAGTTGGATCATATGTCTCCACGGAATGAGCTTAGCTTTCGAATTAACCTCTCCATGTTTACATTTATTACGTTTAACGCCTATAGAGTAAATCCATTCAAAGTTAAGTGGGTAATTTTTATTTACTTTTTTTTTTAATTATTTTTGAAGAAGAAGAAGAGTTCTTGGATTAAAGGATATCATTACCATAAGTTTTCTCAAATTTTATCCAGTGAGGGCATACTGCTCTTATCGGGTTATCATTATTTACGTCGATTATCAATGACTAATTACACATAAGATGTGATTCAAACCAAGTTTTAGACTTCTTACTGTAAATTTAATTAATTAATTAATCATTCCGGATGGTAACAACCATTAATTTTCTTTCCTTTTTTTTTCCATGTAAAAGTTGGTTATGATTTATGAAAACAAGATGTACCACCATTTGGTAAACAGCCGATCGAACCCACCGAATGGATTTCAATTGACGGGGACAAGTCGTCAGCAGATTATTTGAACCTTCATTTTCTGGATTTAATAACAAATCATTACCGTTATTATTCATTCAGATTTAGTTTCCCTTATTTATTTATTATGTTTATCAACTTGTACCAATGATGATAATCAAATAGAAAACACTGTAATAACTTTTAATCATCTTATGGAGGGGTTTAAGCCTTCAATTAAGGTCGCGAAAATCCACCTCATATATTCTTTAGATTTACTTACGATCGGATGAGAGATAAGGGGAATTAAAAATAATTTGAAAGTTTGCATGTTATTTAAGTACAGACAACTTTGCTATTTTACGTTTTGGTAGATGATTATATTGTTTTTGTCCATATTTAGGTAAGCTTTAACATTTCCTTCAGTACTAGTCAATTTTTTTTTTTCTTGATGATTCAATCTATATCTAATAAGATTATCATCAGTTTTATCGTGTTTAAATGTCTAATCATAACGATTATAGAAATGACATAATGCGAAATACTATTGTGCTTGGTTATACAAATCATTAATTTGAATGTAAAATTTCCTTTTATTTTAGTATAATTTGTATTAAAAGTAAAATCTTTGATAAATAATTTTGAGACGGAAAGAGTATAATGTAAACCAGAGTGGCGTAGTCCTTCAAACTTAAGGTGTTTGGATCCATAATTTATCTGAATGTGGAGGGAGGTGTTGTAAATTACCAAAAAATGAAAGTCACCAAGAAAGAATTCAGAATGGAATATTCTTTCTTTAATTTTCTCTTTCATAGTACACTAATCAAATCTAAAAATTTATCAGTTCGTGATTCAATTTCCTACCAATAGAAAAATACATATAGAAAAGATTTAAAAATAAAAAAATAAAAAAATAAATAATAATAATAAAAAAATCCAGCGAAAACACCTCCACCACCACCACCTCTGCCATACTATATAAATACCAGAGCCCGGTAAGAAACAATTCCTCGAAAAACCATAAAATCATCATCATCATCAACAACTCATTTAAAGCCTCTCTTTAGTAATCAGTTCTTTAATTTTCTTGTTATATATAGTTTTGTCTTCTAGATTTTTTTTTTTTTGGGTTCTGTTTTTCTTTTTTTCATTCATTTCGTTCATTAACGGCGTGTGGAAGTTGAATCGAACGCCGTCGTCTTTATCGGAGGAGGGAAAAATGGGAGCGGCGATATTGTCGGATCTCGGGACGGAGATTTTAGTCCCGGTTTGTGCCATTGTCGGAATTGGCTTTGCTCTGTTCCAATGGGTTTTGGTTTCCAAAGTTAAGCTCTCCAATGACAAATTCAGCCCTTCATCCTCGGCCGACGATAAGAATGGCTTCACAGACGCTCTTATCGAGGAAGAGGAAGGCGTTAACCAGGATATCGTCGTTCAGAAATGCGCCGACATCCAAAACGCCATCTCCGAAGGTATATATTTTATAATTGCACGCAATGAAATGCTTTTTTTTTTTTTTAAATCTCCACTCGCGCACTTTTTATGACGTGGATTCACGCTCTAAACATGCATAAATTTTTTGAGTTTTACGATTGGAAGTCTTTTTGCTTGAATTGATTTCATTTGTGGATGTTTCCATTTGGACATGTCTGTTAAAGTTCAGATCTTTGTCGGGTCATTATTTGGGTTTGGTGAATTTGGTCTTCACATGCGTGAAAACAGCAAACGATGCAAAGTTTAAACAAATCAATAGTAAAAATTTGATTTCTTTGCAAACATGAAAATGTTGCATCATATATTTTCGAACAGATGAACAAGATTGAAAAAGATTGAATGGGCTAAAATTTTCTTCTGTACAATCTTTTGGTGCTTCTTCTTTTCTGTTCAGGGTTCTAATTTTTGTATTTTATTCCCGTCGGCCATTGGATTTTGTTTTAGTTTATTAGGCTGATACATGTGGTTTGTTGGATCTTCATTTCTGCTGACGTTTGGTGGTTGAGTATTTCTGCTGACGTTTTGGTGGTTGAGTTCATATTTACTTAGTGGTATGGAATTAATGGTTTGTTTTTTTGACAAGGAATTAATGGTTTGTGATGGCCAAGTGTTTGCATACTTGAGCTCCAGTTTTCAGATCTTTTTTTGGGTCTTTTTTTAATTATTTCATATCTGTTTAAAGAATTAGTATTGGATCCGAGTCATTCCTACGACTTTGTGAGCTGGGGACCCCTTTTTAATTTAAAGGAAAAGGTTTTGAACTGATTCTTTCTCAGTAATTTCCCGGAGTCAGCTCTTTAGTTTGGTTTGATTCATGTTCGTGTTAGATTATTTTGGATTTTCATGACCAATAAGCATTTTTTGTCAGCCGTCTGACCTCACAATTCCTTGTGTCCTTCACTTTTTTAATTGTCCCCAAATAGTTTCATCCACAATTTGACACTATTGTAGAATCTAAAGCTGTTGGTTTTCTTCTCCATACGGATCTAGGGATGTTTAGCCCTATACTATTAGACCTTCTCATAAACTGAACTTCGTATAGTTCTGGTCGACCTGTTACTACAATGCTTGAATATTCAAGAAGTTGGAAAATTAGGTGCACTGTAAGCATTGGAGGGATGCTTCCATGTGCACAAATTTGCTTGAAGAAAGTGCTGCATTCTCTTTAATGGAATATGTAAAACAGGTCTAACACTGTGGCTCTCTGTTTATCCGGGACTCATGACCTTTTGCTACTTAACTCTATATTTTAATTGTTCATTCTGCCTGGAACTCTAGCTAGATATGTACCAGCAACCTCCATTCATTAAAATCCTGACAGAAAACATGAATACTTTTATGCAGTCATGATTTTTTGTTGAGGCAGGTGAGAGAAAAAATTCCGGGTCTAGAGTGGCACGGAAACGCTAACGTCCCTTATTTCTAAGTAAAGGTTCCATTTTGATTATATGTGCATGACCCCCCAACTCATTCATTAGTATAATTTAATTGAGTGATATATATTTAGAAAAATTTATGGAATTTTTGAAGCAGTTTCTTGGCCATTAACGGATTTTCTCACTCTGAGTACGGCTTCATTTGTTCTGATGGAATTCCGCGTTGATTCTACAGGTGCAACCTCATTCCTCTTTACCGAGTATCAGTATGTGGGAGTTTTCATGGTGGCTTTTGCCATTTTGATCTTCCTTTTCTTGGGCTCTGTGGAGGGGTTCAGCACAAAGGGCCAGTCCTGTACATATGACAGTTCCAAATTGTGCAAGCCAGCTCTTGCTACTGCCGCCTTTAGCACTGTATCTTTTGTGCTTGGTGCTGTAACCTCTGTGCTTTCTGGTTTTCTTGGAATGAAAATCGCTACCTACGCAAATGCCAGAACCACCTTGGAGGCTAGGAAAGGAGTTGGGAAGGCTTTCATTGCTGCATTCAGATCTGGTGCAGTAATGGGATTCCTTCTTGCTGCAAATGGTCTTCTAGTGTTGTTCATTTTGATCAACGTGTTGAAGCTGTACTACGCTGATGACTGGGAAGGCCTGTTTGAGGCCATTACTGGATATGGTCTGGGTGGATCTTCCATGGCTCTTTTTGGAAGAGTTGGTGGAGGTATCTATACCAAGGCTGCTGATGTTGGGGCTGATCTTGTGGGTAAGGTGGAAAGGAACATTCCAGAGGATGACCCTAGGAATCCTGCGGTAGGTTACCTTTGACATGTTGCGGGACAAATGTGTGGTTATCTTTAATTTTGTAGTTATAATTTGTGGAATGTTTTCAGGTGATCGCAGACAATGTTGGTGACAATGTCGGAGATATTGCTGGCATGGGATCTGATCTTTTCGGCTCCTATGCAGAGTCATCCTGTGCAGCCCTTGTTGTTGCTTCAATCTCCTCTTTTGGAATCAATCATGATCTGACTGCTATGATGTACCCTCTTTTGATAAGCTCTGTGGGTATCCTTGTATGTTTGATCACCACTTTGTTTGCCACCGATTTCTTTGAAATCAAGGCTGTGAAGGAAATTGAGCCTGCGTTGAAGTATCAACTGGTTATCTCCACAGTTTTGATGACTATTGGTATTGCAATTGTCTCTTGGATTGCTCTCCCATCCTCCTTCACCATATTCAACTTTGGGGTTCAGAAGGAAGTTCAGAGATGGTAAGCCTTTCCTTGTATTGACTCTTTGGAAATCATTTTCTTCTTGTTACTTTTCTTCTTATTTTTATCTGGACTTTCTTTCTTTAAATCACAATTTCTGGCAATGCTGGTTGTGTGTAAGGAGGAGAGACCTTCTAATCTCTTTAAGTTTAATTTTTTTACATTTCAATCTTTTGGGTTCCTTCTGTAGGTTTGTTTTGACATAATGATTATTAATTCTTTTGGGAAAGTTTATGATGTTCAAATAGCATTCAATAAGTTTGAGCACCCCGTAACTAGTGCAGAGAAGGGCTTAATATATTATACTTCTCTAACATGGTAAATATCTGCAGGCAACTGGGCGTGTGCGTTGGTGTTGGTTTGTGGGCTGGGCTTATCATTGGCTTTGTCACAGAATATTACACCAGCAATGCTTACAGGTACTTGGCAGTTTGAAGTTCTGCCTTGTTGTCTAAATGATTAGGAGTGCTTACAGCTAACTATTTCTTTCATGTTTCAGCCCTGTGCAAGATGTTGCTGATTCCTGCAGAACTGGAGCTGCTACAAATGTTATATTTGGATTGGCTTTGGGATATAAATCAGTTATTATTCCAATTTTTGCCATAGCAATCAGCATCTTTGTGAGCTTCAGCTTTGCTGCAATGTATGGTATTGCAGTTGCTGCCCTTGGAATGCTTAGCACCATAGCTACTGGATTGGCTATAGATGCTTATGGACCAATCAGTGATAATGCTGGAGGTATTGCTGAGATGGCTGGCATGAGCCACAGGATCCGAGAGAGAACCGATGCCCTTGATGCAGCTGGGAATACCACTGCAGCTATTGGAAAGGTGTGTGTTTCTGTTATTGCTCAGGATTAATGCACTGCAAGTAAAGGAAATGGCTGTGCGTCAACATGTGTGATCCAGACTAAATTTTTCTTGTGTTGTAGGGGTTCGCAATTGGCTCTGCAGCTCTTGTGTCGCTTGCCCTCTTTGGTGCATTCGTCAGCAGGGCAGGAATTACTACTGTGGATGTCCTAACACCCAAAGTTTTTATTGGTCTTCTCGTCGGCGCAATGCTTCCATACTGGTTTTCTGCCATGACAATGAAGAGTGTGGGTAGTGCAGCCCTAAAGATGGTTGAAGAAGTGCGTAGGCAGTTCAACACTATCCCTGGACTCATGGAAGGTACTACCAAGCCCGACTATGCCACCTGCGTTAAGATCTCTACTGATGCTTCTATCAAGGAGATGATACCTCCTGGTGCTCTTGTCATGCTCACTCCCCTCATCGTGGGAATCTTCTTTGGCGTCGAAACCCTTTCTGGTGTCCTTGCTGGATCCCTTGTTTCTGGTGTACAGGTAACACTATTGAGACCTTCCTGTTTTCACTCTTTGCCACTAGATGGTTTTACAACTTTTTTGCTGGTTTGACAAGATTATCATTTTCAGGGCGATAACTTCATTTTATTTTATCCTCATATTCTTATTGTGGACTGTGTTGTGTAGATCGCAATCTCTGCATCAAACACTGGTGGTGCCTGGGACAATGCCAAGAAGTACATTGAGGTAAGAATTTTTTGTTTGCTTTTCACATATCATCATTCTACTCTCTGAGATTCATGCAAGTATTGGTTTCTAATGCAACTGCTTCTCGATTTGGTAAAATATTAGGCTGGTGTTTCTGCCCACGCAAAAGAGTTGGGACCTAAAGGATCCGATGCACACAAAGCAGCTGTCATTGGTGACACCGTTGGAGATCCTCTTAAGGACACATCTGGACCATCACTGAACATTCTCATCAAGCTAATGGCAGTTGAATCACTTGTCTTCGCTCCATTCTTCGCCACTCACGGTGGCCTCCTCTTCAAGCTCTTTTAAAACATCCGGGTAAACATGCTTCACGAGAGAGGAACAGCGTCAATGTTATCATCATCTGATGATTGTCTTATTCATAAATTTCCGATTTGATCTCTTCCTTCTTCTCATCTCCGTCTAACGTCAAGTCGAAGAATTCCTCATTTTTGGTAGTGTTGTCAGAAAAAGTAAGGAGTTTTAAGTTTTAGGTCTGCGGGAAAAGAATTTTTTCCTAAGAGGGTTAGTGGGTGTAAGGTGGTGATGACTGATGCTGCTGCTGATGATGATGATAATTCCTCCGAGTTTGGGACAGATTTAATATCTTTATGCAAAGTAAATGAACAACTCCAATTTTTACATATTGTTTCCTCGTTTCTTTTCTTTGCTTTTGAAGATTTTTTTTTTTTTTTTTTTGGGTGGAACTGCAATTTCTTTTTAAGCATTTCCTTCCATTTCTTTGGTACTCTGCCTGCTCTTTATTTTTCTTACCAACTCACCATGTTTTAGATTTGATGACCTCTGCTTCCCGTGTGCGATCTTCCGTATTTGTCTTAATGGAAGCATTCATTCAAACTTAACACCAAAATGAGCATACAAACACAAACAATTACCTTATGTTTTCAAACTGAATTTATCAAAAGTAGCATGTTTTTCTTACATTTGAACTGGAGAAATATTTGTGGGTACAAAAAAGGAGTCCGAGATACTAACATGTTAAGTTAAAAAGTTTTTAAATGGGAAGTAATAGTATATATATATACACATTATTATGGATAATGTGGTGTTTCAAACACAGCTTCATAATGGAGTACTAAACACACACAACACATGTAACTCTTCTGAAATCAAGGTGTACATCTTAACCCGTTACACCATCCACCACTCGGAATCAAGTTTTAGTAAATGTGTCATCTCGAATTCAACAGGAATTCAGACTTTTAGACGAACTACCATTCACTCACTCAAAACTACCATTCAATTAAAAGTAGTAAAACATTTTCTGTTACCGTTTTGGCATTGTCAATCTAAGTGTAATAATGTCAAGATGTTAATAAGTTTGGATCTACAGAAATTCATTTCCTAAATCTGTTTTTTTTTTTTTTTTTTTGAAATACATTTCCTAAATCTCTTGATACACGTGATTTTGGGTTTATGAAGGCCAAACCCAAATTCAATTTTTTTTCTTTTTTTTTTTGGGGGTGGTTGGTGGGGGTTAACAAATTCCAAGTTTAAACTTCAACTAAAATATACTATCAAATTGACAATCAAGAATCATGCCATTTATTTTTAGCTCAGCCCTTTTTTGTTTGAACTGTTTGAGGTGGGCTCACTTGCAAAAATAGAATCCTCCTAGTTCACACAAACAAACAATCATATTTCAGACAAACATTTCGGCACTCGACGCGGCGGCCGGCGGGACGAACTTCTGAAACATCAAACCGATTCATAAATTTTCTCTTACATTTGACCAAAAAACTTTATCACCATGTTTTCTTTATCGGCGGCACAACCCACCACCTCTAAACCCCACTCCGCTATTCTCCGCCGCCGTCCTTTCTGCCACCCCCACCACCACCACCAATTTTCATTTTGTCAAACGGCCGTTCTCTTCCAGCGCCGCCAACCTCCCTCCCTCCGCATCCGGGCTCTAGACGCGGCACAACCCTTCGATTACGAAACCCGGCTTTCCGAGCAGTTTGAACAGTCCACCAAGCTCAAGATTGCCATAATTGGGTTCGGCAATTTCGGCCAATTTCTGGCCAAAGCGTTCGTCCGGCAGGGCCACACCGTGTTAGCCACCTCCCGCCAAAATTACAGCTCCACCGCCGAATCACTGGGTGTTTCCTTCTACTCTGACCCACATGACCTCTGTGAACAACATCCAGATATCATCCTCATCTCCACCGCCATTCTTTCCTTTGAGAAAGTCCTAAAATCGCTTCCCATCCAGCGCCTCAGAAGGAATACTTTGTTCATTGACGTTTTATCAGTTAAGGAATTCCCCAAGAAGGTATTTCTCGAAACCCTGCCTAATCATTTTGATATACTCTGCACCCATCCTATGTTTGGCCCTGAGAGTGGGAAGCACAGTTGGAAAGATCTCCCCTTTGTGTATGATAAAGTTAGGATAGGTTCGGAGGAGTCTAGACAAATAAGGGTTGAGAAATTCCTGAATATTTTCAAAAAAGAAGGTTGCAGGATGGAGGAAATGAGCTGTGCAGACCATGATATGGATGCTGCTGGTTCACAGTTTATGACTCACACTGTGGGAAGGGTGTTGGAGAAGATGCATTTGGCAACTACGCCTATTAATACCAAAGGGTACGAGACATTGTTGAATTTAGTGGAAAATACTTCTAGTGATAGCTTTGATTTGTACTATGGATTGTTTATGTACAATAAGAATGCATTGGAGCAATTGGAGAGGTTGGATTTAGCTTTCCAGAGTTTGAAGATGGAGTTGTTTGGGCATTTGCATAAGAAATTGAGGAAACAGATGTTTGGTGATGAGGGAGAGGAGGTGAGGAGACCGGTATTGCTGCAGCTGCCCAGGAACGGAGCCGCATTACCAGCCCCTTCCTCAGACATTGGTGAAACTAGTACCAACTAGGAAGAATTTTTTCCGGTATGCTTTCTTATCATTTGCTCGATGTATTTTGAATTTTAGCGGAAAGAACAAACTAGCTGCTGGTTCTTTGGCTTGCTGTATCATCTGCCTGGGTGATTCTATGATTGATGACGTTTGATATAAGCATTTCAATTTTGCATCAGGAAGATTGATCAAGTAGTTATTAGTCTTCCTACCTACAAATTTTCTCTTTTGTTCCTGATATCCCACCCTACTACGTCCCCTAGCTCCTGTGATTATTTAATGAATCCTGCTAATTTACAGTAACAAGTTGTACTTTGTTTGGCGAAGTCTTAACTTCCTTTCTTTTACCACATTTTGGGGATTGAGTGCAGGCTGCATTAGAGTGTTACACACAACACATCGTATCTTCCCCCATTGGTTGGATCTATCTTGTTTTCAGGGCTTCTGCAATTAGAAGAATGTCAAGTTGTATGCTTTTGGTTCCTGAAATTCTGTCCAAGGGAAGTTCTCTGTAGCAAAGGTTGTTGTCTATTGGTGGTTTCCTCGGCTGTATCAGGTCTTAATGTATCTTATTTGTTGTTCGTCTGAAACATCCTCTTGTATAATAGGCATCAGGTATTTTTTTCAATAAGCCGGTGTTAGGTCTTTGCCATGTCCTTTTGCCCCCTTGATTGGGATGGTAATAATCTAAGTTTAGGGTGTTGTTCTGGGATCCAGTTCAATCCCACTGGCTGAGGTACATTTTTTATTTACAATAAATCAAATAAAGTTCCTTCTTTGATCTTGTCAATATATTAAATTTGTTTCCATGTAGTATAGTACGATCATAAAGCGAGAAGAGAAGAAGGGAAAAAATTGGAAAGAACCTAATCTTAAACGGAATATGATGAGTGTATGACGAGCTTTAATTGACAGGTGCAAACTTATAACATCCATGTGAAAACCAAAGACTAATACATAATTGACTAGTTCGCATTAGTACAGTTTGACCGCTTCAATTGGTCTCTTTCCCTGTTGGTAGTACTTGAAATAAGTATGAGCGTAGTCGTTCACAGTCTTGTATAGCCTAGGCCTTGTGTCATTGATCAGCTCTTCTACTGGTCCTACCTCATCTCCAAATCTTGGTGTGCTGAACACTGTCACAGAGATTCTTTCTTTCTCTGAGTTGGTCATAACCCTGTGAATTGGGCTCTTGAAAATCCCATTGGTCATGATCTCCATCTGGTCGCCAATGTTAACTAGAAGAGCATGAGGAATGGTTTGAATTCCAACCCACTTTTCATCTTTGAGAAATTGAAGGCCTTCGACATCCTTGTCCGGCAGGAGAATTGTAATTGCTGATCCATCGGCATGTGGTTTCAAACCCTGAACAAGATCAGGTTTCGAGCATGGCGGATACAAGTTGAACCTAGCATACAAAGTTGGTGTCTTTCCATGTGCATTAAGAAGACTGTTCTCCATCAGACCCAGTGCTTTTGCCATGGATTTGAGGAGAATATCTAGTATCATTATCAGGCTCGATGCGTACTTTTCCAGTACTTCCCTGGTGAATATAAGAAAGTAACCCTCTGATTATTACATTCTTACAAGAACATAAGTAATCATGACTCCAAAACACTAGTTATTTCAGGATGACCTTTCTGTAAAAAACTTACTAAGGAGTAGTAAGGATTACCTAAAGGATTTGGGATTCTGAGGCCAAACATGAAGCTTCCGGTTATCTTCTGGATGGATTAAGAGGGTAAGCCTGTCTGTCCAGTCCAGAGTTTGATTCTCATAAAGAACCATATCATTGCCATATCCTTCAATGTCATTTTGTCCTCTGGCGTACTTCTGCTTTTCTTCAGTTGGAAGCTTGTAAAACTTTCTGCTATTTTCATGCAGTTCATCCAGCAAACCAAATTGTATGTCATGGTTTATGATCTGAGTAGAAATACAAGCCTATTTTACGTTCCTGTAATGATAATAATTTACTCTAAAGATTAACATTTGAAGAACTAAAGTACACTAAGATTTGGATAAAGTTGGTCAATACTCCATCTGTTTTGTCCGTTGATAAATTCTGGATCAGTTGGATAGGAGAGGCGAAGATTCGCTTATAGCAGTTCTTGATCAAACTTACTGTGTGGTTTGATTGACAAATTCAAACCAAAACCCCTTGTAATTGAGCGTATTTTGACGATTCAGTGGTGACCTAAAAGTAAATTGCATGCTGATTGCCAAGTATAAAAAAAAGTCAACTGAAAAACTTACCTGAAAGCAACCCAATGAAATGAGAGCTGATTGAAGCTTCTGCAGTTCTTCAGATGAAGTTAACAAACGCTTCAGATCAATAATTGGAACGTCCATTGACGGGACAGGGGCAGCAACGCCATCTCCATTTGGTGTTTCTTTGCATATGTAGCTCTCTGGCACTTCTCCACCATCCTCAGCTAATTCCTGGACGGCTCGATTGCGGCGTAATTCTACGCAAGCTCCAGTAGAAGGAGATAACCCGGAGTCTCCTGACATGGAAAGGTGGCTCAAGTTGGCAACAACAATAAAATTAAGCTTCTAGTATAGATGAATGAAGACACCAGCCAACCAAGTGCTGGGATGAGATGAGATGAGAACAGTCCGCAACAAAATTGACCTAATCATGTAGAAAGTAGAGAAAAGGACAAAATGGATCACACTGGTCCAGAATAGGGAATCTTGCAAGATATTCGTAGAGTCAAAACGGAAAAACAATATCAAAATAAGTGGGTTGGTGCCTTTCATTATCAATGAATCAGACAATCAAAGATGGTACGCCCCATGCCGGTCTAGCCCAGTTCTCATACATTGAGAATTGCATATAAAAAGTCAGTTTACATTTAGAAATCCAAAGGCCTTCAACTACTGAAATCAGGCCTGATGGTGCTTGTATAATCATCCAATTGACGAACAAACATATATGTTACTCTCTCCGTCTTAATTATAACGCACAAATTAACACTAAAGTTAGTTCAAATTTGTGCCTGGTAGTTAGGACAAGAGGGAGTATCGGATTGAGCAGAAGTAGTACGCAAAAATCAGTCATATTTCTACAGTTTAACAGCTTCACTTGGTCCCTTTCCCTGCAGATAGCTTTAAATTCCAGGTTACTCTCTTACTCGTCTTGTACAATCTAGGCCTTCCGTCATTGATCAACTCCTGTACCAGTGGTCTCCAACCATAATGGTCCAAAAAAAAAATGTTGTGTGTCAAATGCAGTGCTTTCGGCATGGACTAAAGGCAACTATCATTCTGGTTTTGATGTGTACTCTTCCAGTAGTTTCCTGATTATTATAAAAAGAAAAATCTCTGATCAATCGAACTCCTACAAGAACGGATAAAGATGATATTGAAACAGTATTTTTTCATGATAATATTTCTGCAAAAATCTTATCAAGGAGCAGTAAAGATTACCTAAGACAGTAGGGATTCTTTGGCCAAACATGTAGCTTTTGGCTATCTTCCGGATGGAAAAATGCCGTAAACCTGTTTGTCCAATCCAGAGTTTTATTCTCATAAAGAAGTAAAGAACCATATCATTTCCATACTTTCCATGTCATTTGGTCCTCTGCTGTATTACCGATTTTAAGCTTGAAAAATTTCCTAGGATTCTCTTTCAGTTCGTCTGGTAAATTACATTCAGTTCTCTGGTTTGTAACCTGTCCAGTCAAAACTAGGAAGCTTTACACTCTAGGAAACCATCACAACCTACTCTAAAATGGACATTTAGAAGAATAACTAAAGCACACAAAGAGAAAGGGTGTCTATACTTCAAGCCCATGAATGAATATCAAACTTTATTAGAGTCTAACAGCTTCAATTGGTCTCTTTCCCAGCTGGTAGTACTTGAAGTAAATTGAATAGTAGTCTTTAACTGTCTTGTACAACCTAGGCCTTGTGTCATTTATCAGCTCCTCTACAGGTCCAACCTCTTCCCCGCTTCCTGGGGAGCAGAACGTTGCGACAGAAATCCTTTCTTTATAAGAGTTGGTAATGACCCTGTGAACCGGGCTCTTGAAAATCCCATTGCTCATCATCTCCATCTGATCACCAACGTTAACTAAAAGAGCATGAGGGTTGATCTGAGTACGAATCCACTGATCATCTTTCAGGAATTGAAGCCCTTCAACTTTTTCATCTGGCAGAAGAATTGTGATTGCTGTTCCATCCGCATGCGGCTTCACACCCTGAACGACATCAGGTTTTGGGCATAGAGGATAGAAGTTGAATCTAGTATGCATCATTGGTGTATCTCCATATTTGTTAAGAAAACAGTCCTCCGCTAAACCCAGTGACTTTGCCATGGATTTGAATAGGATTTCAACTATCACTCTCAGCCTTGTTGTATACTCTTCCAAGACTATCCTGGTCGTTAAACCAACATCTTTTGAACTCTCATAGAAAATGTATGTAGTTGTAAGTTGTGACACTCTTAACATGATTTGTACAAACAACCCGTTTAACGAAACACTATTAATATGATTGCCATTTTTTTTTGCTGTTATACCAAATATATCGTATAGAATTCTTTGATACTATAACAAGATTTGACACGGCTACCCAAATTGACAACCTTTAAACCACAGTTGAAGAATGCACTCATGCTTACTATATAGCACAGAAGATTTTACCTAAACGATTTGGGATTTTGAGGCCAGTAATGGAGCTTTCTGCTATCTTCAGGATGGACTAAAAGGTAAAGCCGGTCAGTCCAATCCAGAGTCTGGTTCTCGTAAAGAACCATATCATTCCCGTATCCTTCGATTTCATTCGGTCCTCTGGCGTATATGTGCTTCTCTTCCGCTGGAAGCCTGAAAAATTGCCGGGTATTCTCTCTCAGCTTATCCAGCAAATTACAATCTATCCCATGGTTTATGACCTGATCAGTTAAAACCCTGAGTTAACATATACTCCCTCTGTCTCAAAATTATTGTCCAGTTTGAAATTTCAATTTTAGTACAATTTGAGCTAAAAATAAAAATCCAAACTGGACAATGACATTTACTCTGAAATGGACATTTGAAGAACCAAACTGAAGCATACTATGTGTTTGTGCGAAAATAATCAATAGAAACTGACACACGCTTGCAAATAATATCAAACGAAAATGTGTAATTCGTAAAGTGCAAATATTCGACTATGCGTGAAAAGAAGGGTATAAAACTTGTGATAACTTGAATAAAAACTGAATTGCTAGTAAATTGATAGGCTTTAAATGAATTATAATAAGTAAATCGAATTAAAATACTTGTAAGAAAGTATTAAATATAAACAAAAGGATGTTAAAAGAAAAAAAAAATCTTTGCGGCTTGTGTTGTATTTGTGTTAATAATGAATTTGTGTGTTGTATCGCTCCTCTTTCTCTCTTTATATAGTACTTGGTAATTGTCTAAAGGCGATGCAATCTCCGATTCCTATTCTAATTCAGTGTTGCCATTTAGAGTTGCAATTGAAATTTATTTAATTTCTTGTTTCCTTCATTAATTGCAACTTCACTTGAACTTGGATTTAGCTTCCTCCATGCCGTGTCGGGCCTTTCGACGCTTTTTCTTTACTGATTCAGAAAAGGACTTTATTTTTCTGTGTGGGACCTGGATTTCTTGCAAAGCTGGGCCGATTCACATTTTTGTTCGGCCGGTTCGATTTTAATTAAAATCGGTGGAAACACTATGATGAACATGATGATTATTACACTAAAAAGCTTAAAACAAAAAGGGGAAAAAAAATAAAAATAAAATCCTTCAGATGGTTGGAAGAACCTGAAAGAAACCCCATGAGCTGAGAGCTGACTGAAGCTTCTGTAGTTCACCATCAGATACAGAATCCGGTGAAGCTGACAACTTCAAATCGATAACTGGAACGTCCACCAACGGGACAGCAGAGGCGGCTCTGTCTCCTTTTCTGCATATATATCCCTCCGGCACTTCTCCTCCACCTTCCTCGGCCAATTCCTGGACGGTTCGGTGCCGGCGTAGTTCTACATCTGCTGACTTATCTCCGACGCCATCAGGAGACGATATCGAGTTTCTTGACATGGTGGTGGTGGAAGCAGTTGCTGGTTACCAGTAAAATTCAAGTGTGTAGTAAAGAATAATGGCAGTAACCCAGTTGATTCAGATCGGTTTTGCAACGTATTTGAGGAGATAAGGCAGAAGATTGCAAGAAAACAACAAAATTGATCACTCTTGCTTAGCTTGGCTTTTTCTGACGGAGTTTTAGATCTTAGCCGGAAGAGGAAAAATAGACAAAGAGGGAAAAATCGAAAAAGGAAAATGATATCAAACGTTAGAAAAGGAGCAGCCCATATAAGCCCAATTAAATAAGTGTATCCAGTTTTGTCATGGAATAGGGGTTTAATTGCTTAATTCTATAGTGTAGAGGCCAGTTTGTAATTCTGGGAATTGCTTGACTATAAATAATCAGCATTGTAATGTAAAACGCAGTTATTGTATAGTTGAATGAAACTAGTACTTAGTATTCAGTTTTTTCCCTTTCTCTCTGATTTTCCCTCCCGTTTCTCAAACCCTAGCCCTCTTGATCTTCCAAATCTAGATCTTCTCCTTCAATTTCTGTTCCTAATCCTTTGTAATTCTGGATTCCGGTCCCTGTAAGTGACAAGTTCCTAGACCGTAAGAATATGACGCAAGTCCAGTTACATTGTTTTTATGAATTAAGCCCACTAGATTCATGTACAAAGTGCAGCTGCCTGCAGTAGAATGTACTCTCAAGTCTTATCTCAGGTCAGTGTAAAGCTCCGTTAAAAAGTTACTCCCACAGTCTCAAAATTATTGTCCAATTTACATTTTCAGTTTTAGTATAATTTGAAGTAGAAATGAAAATCCAAACTCTGACGATAATTTTGAGATGGAGAAAATATTGTATTTGTGGGACAGAGAGAGTACATCCTATGTAGGATAAAGGTTGTACTCGACTTCAACCAGTAAAATTAGGCCTATAATCGTACAATTACCGAATATGTATAGATTATTAGATGAACATGTAAAGATTATTATTAGATGGAGCAGAGTAGTATACAAAACTTGTCGCGTTAGTACAGTTTAACAGCTTCAATTGGTCTCTTTCCCAGCTGGTAGTACTTGAAGTAAATCGCAGGATAGTCTTTAACTGTCTTGTACAACCTAGGCCTTGTGTCATTTATCAACTCCTCTACTGGTCCAACGTCTTCTGCCGTTCCCGGTGCGCAGAACATTGCCACTGAGATCCTTTCTTTATCAGTGTTGGTGGTAACCCTGTGAATCGGGCTCTTCAAAATCCCAGTGCTCATCATCTCCATCTGATTACCGACGTTAACTAGAAGAGCGTGAGGGTTGATCCGGATCCGAACCCACTGATCATCTATCAGGAATTGAAGCCCTTCAACTTCTTCGTCTGGCAGAAGAATCGTAATTGCTGACCCATCCGAATGTGGCTTCAAACCCTGAACCAGATCAGGTTTCGGGCATGACGGATAGAAGTTGAATCTCGTATACATTGTTGGTTTATCTCCGTATTGGTTAAGAAAACTGTCCTCAGATAAACCCAGTGCCCTGCCATGGATTTGAATAAGATTTCAACTATCATTCTCAGCCTTGATGCATACTCTTCTAAGACTTTCCTGATCATTAAAACAAGCAAAACCCCAGATCAATCGAACTCTCATAGGAAAATGTACGTAGTTGCTGCACGTTAACACGATTTACAGCGACAGCCCTAATGACATAACACTATTGACATGATCATCACTTTTGTTCTGATGTATCATATGTAAACTCGAACTAAATAAATGGAAATCATAATAAGATTATGACACGACTACCCAAAATTGACACCTTTAAAACCATATGTTGCCGATAGCAGTGATTCTTACTCTATATATAGGAGTGAAGAGTTTACCTAAAAGATTTGGGATTTCGAGGCCAATAATGGAGCTTTCTATTATCTTCGGGATGAACTAAAAGGTAAATCCTGTCAGTCCAATCCAGAGTCTGATTCTGGTAAAGAACCATATCATTCCCGTATCCTTCAATTTCATTCGGTCCCCTAGCATAATTCTGTTTTTCTTCCACCGGAAGCTTAAAAAATTGTCGAGTATTCTCTCTCAGTTCATCCAGTAAATCACATTCTATCCCATGGTTTATAACCTGATCAGTTAGAGCCCCAAGTTAACATGATAAATTCTACTCTTAGTCTGACATTCATGCCGGAAGAGGAAATAAACAAATAAACAAAGAGGGAAAAGAAAATGATGGGGGCCTTCAATGAGGTGAACATTTGAAAAGGAGGAGCCCATCTTTGTCTAGCCGAATTCAATATAGCCCATAACGTTATGATGCAAGTCCATTTACATCGTTCCAGTCCATTAAGCCCACCACATTCTTTCCTGCGGTTGAATATTGCGTTCTAGTCGTTTCAAAATAATTTCTCATTTATTTCAACCTGTTAATTTGTGAAGGCGCATGTATACATTTTTCTTTTTTTGTTTATCTTAAGATTTTCCTTTTGGTACTAAGCTATAATGTAAAACATGATTCACTTTGTATTTAAGGGTTTTGCTTTCTCAATATATATATATATATATATATATATATATTAAAGTCTTATGGTGCAAAGAACGCACCCTTCTATACATACAGCTTCTTAACAACTAAAATTACATCAATACAAGTAATATAAAAAAAAAAAAATGCTCCCCTTCTATAATCTAGCATTTCTTCAGTCAGCGCATATATTGCTTTGTTTCTTTAAGCCGTTCTCTAGCTCATGTATTACAATTTTAAGAATATTAAAATTGTAAAGTTTAAATTAACACGTCTTGTGATAAGGTGAGAATTATTGACTTTAATATCATGCTCTAATCACAGTTTAACTTATTATCTTAAAACCTGAAATCTTCACAAGTAAAGATTCAAAATATAGTAACTGTACCAAGTACACTTAGTTAGGACCTTTCATAGCTGTTGAATCAAGTGTTCGAGCTGCATAAGTAATATAGTCTGATGAAATATAATAGTACAATAATTCAGCTTTAATGAAACTAAGTTTCACATAATAATAATAATAATAATAATAATAATAATAATAATAATAATGAATCATACCAACTTCGAGATCCCCTTATCCTCATCGACAATAGTAAACTATGTAATCCACGACACGATTCGATTCACGAAATATGTTTTAAGAGATTCCTGATGGGCCTGACTCATTGCCACTCAAAGACTCCACACTTTGATGCTGTAATGTAAACATATAAATATTTAAGAAGTTGATTGATTAATGTAGACAAATAGCTTATTAGGGTTTTACCGTTTTTTAGAAAATGTGTCTCGAGATTTGATTTCAAGTGGAAAATAAATATAATGAAAAAAGATTCAAGACACCGTCCATACAATGTATCACTCGACATTCATAGGTTGTAATTCCTTGATATAAATAAACTAATAAACTAATAAACAAACTTCATGCATATATATTACATCCAATGTTTTTAATAATTCGGTTTGTTAAACTAAAATTATACAATAAATTAGAGTATTAAAGTGAACGAATCCTTCGAATTCGTTCGAGGAAATTGGAGTTATTTTCCATTTTACAACAATGCTGTTGACTTTAAGGATTGAAATCCAGACACAAAACTCGAGTAGGTTTGATTGGTTTGAAACTGCCAAGTTTTTACTCTTAGACAAATAAAGCAGAGCCACCAAATCAACTGGAACTAAATCTGATCATCCAATCAGGAGAAAAGATGTTCGCAACCATTCATTGGAGGAAGAAATCTGGGTTACATTGGATTTTACTGCATCACTATATCCCTACCACGTAGAAAAATGTTACCTGTTCGTTTTTTTTTTTAAAAAAAAAAAAACAAATCGGGAAAAAGGACAGTGGTAATTAATTAAGAGGCCAAATTTCAATTAAAATATATCGATTGTATATTATTTCCATGAATTTTGTGGCTGCAATTCGTGAAAATGCTTCTATTGGAGTATTATTTTAACCATACTCCATTTCCATATGTTCCCATTCATCCACTTGAAGCTGAATCTCTTTCGCTAAAAGCTTGAAAAATATTAATGCATTATGGACAATTTCAATATGTCCTTTTGCCTTTTAGGCTGAAATGGTGTATGGCAATGGCATTTTTTTACCGTGAACATGATGCATGGTATTGCACAATCTCACATCCCACTACTCTATATTTCCATATATTTGATCGACCGTCAAACATATTCGTTAAGAAAGTTTTATCTTTCGAACAGGATACTTATAATACGACACGTATCACACTTGAGCTAATTGACTTGGGCTCTCTCTCAGAAGAAGATATATCAGTACCATTGATGAGTGAGAGTGTTCATAGAAGTGTGAAGAAAAATCAGTGAGACAGGGCCCGATTTCTTAGTCATTTGATGTGTTTGGATCGGGGAAGAAAATATTTGATAATGTACTTATTTCTTTGTCAAATGAGTTGTGAATTAATCATGGTGTATTTTTTGTATTATTGTACCTAGGACACGTCCCCAGGGAAGCAGTCAGCTTACCCGGCCCCCAAGTTGATCATTTTCTACTGTGAATATAATCGATTTGGTAGTATTGGACGTGATATGGTCAATTGAAAACAATGTTGCAGGTGACGCGTTTACGCAAAACAATGGGCTTATCATGGCAACGAAAACTACTTCCTCCGTCCCGAAACCAGGCAATTATTTTGGGACGAGCTTATTCTTATGTATGGTAAAGTTCTGTTCCGAAATTAGATAATTATATTGGAGCGAAGAGAGTAAAATTACAAAGAACAACGGAAAAGATAGCAAAACAATGAAGAAGTAGTGAGAGTGAAAAAGAAGAGGACCAATCACATCAAGATGAGGAAATCAGAATCACGGACGGGCACAAGCTTACAAAACACAGAAGAATGATTCATCCACTTCACCAAGAAAACAAAAAGGAAAATCTTTTTTTTATTAAAAAAAAAAAAAAAAACAGCAATAACATGCAGCGTTGTTGTAGGTTCACGGATGAACACCCAAACCCCAATCCAGCAAATTAAAACCCCTTTTTTTCTGAATGATGAGTTGTGAATGAAAAATTGTGGTGACATTTTACATTACACTGTTTAGTGGTGCCCCATTGGCCATTGGATGATGCTGATGCATCCACAACCTCTAGGTTAATTCGAATGCTTACTTGCTAGCGTACTCTTTGCTGCAATTATGCTTTCAAAATTTAGGTTTGCGGATAATTGCTTATTATGAGGCGTTTCAAAATTTAGTAGTAAGACGTTTCTCTTTGTTTTTTTTTTTTTTTCATAGCTTAGGTTTGGGCGCCTCGTGGGCTAGGTCTAATTAGTTAAATAAGTGAAATGTTGGGAATTATGGATTAATCCCCTTTGAATAAACAGTTAAGAATGCATAATCATTCATATCACTGCTTTTCCTTTCACGGGATAGCAGTAACCAAGTACGCAAACTTCAAAGGAAGCCTTTTGGTATATAGAGTCAAGGCAAAAAATGTAATTAATAAGAAACGTATATATGTCCGTTTAAAATTACCTTGTGAGTATTGAAACACACACATATGCATAAAAAAGGAACACAAACAATAGTAAAAGCATATTCCAAGTACAATGTGGATTCGGCAATTACCGGAAACCAGCCAAGCAAATACGGATTAGTTTTCCTCGTCTACTCTAGGTAACAAAATGTACTTTGCTGGCTGGCGTTTCCCATATGGTCCATATGCCTTCATTTTGGGTGATTAACTTTTTTCCAAATAGCCTAGCTACTGTTGCTAGATTGACAATAATGGTGCCTAAACCAAATTAAGGATATAGCATCACGTACCTAGTAACTAGTTCAATAGACCCGACACTAGACATTAGATCGTGGCTAAAATATGATATTATTGTATTCCTCATCTTACTAAAAAAACAGTAACGAGTTCACATAGTTTTCGTTCGTCAAAAATTTGTCTGAGTCACTACAAGAAATATTGTATCGACCATACAGAAGATGAGGAAAAGCAATCCCAAACGTCACATGGCTAGCTATTAGCTAGTGCACTCGCAAACAATGGTTTGGATAAGCGACGTATCTGCACCGGTAACATGCATATATGGGACTTCTCCATCGATCCCTCCTTCTTGGTTTTTTAAGATATTTGTAAACGTTAAATCATCAATTATGGGCTTTCCCATTCTCAGTTTTTATTCTGTCTTCTTCATTTTCTTTTTTTTTTTTTTTCTGACGAATCAAATCTCTCTATTTAACTTCAGTCTGAGGTACGTAGATCGGAATCCATTAATAAATCAACCCGGATAATTAATTTTTACCGGATATAGCTAGCCCAAAAAAAAAATATTAAGGAAATGTGAGTCTAACTAATTGAAATAGAGAGGGGGAGAACTATTAGAATACGTGGTTAGTTACATGGTTCTGCATGGCTGCGAGAGACTTAAATTAATTACATATGTAGCTCATGCAGGATTAATATTCCCCAACATTTGTGATCATCACATTAAGTTTCAAACAATAAATATTCATTCTCATATAGTACGTAGTGAAAGTAAAAAACAGAAAAAGAACTGAAAACTACCAGTGATCCCCCAATGGTAGAAGATGATCATGTGGCAGCAAATCAATGTTCAGAGGGAAATGGTCACAAATTTTACAGTACTGACAGCAAGGGATGATATGCGCAAAAACAATGGTGGGAAAAAACTGAAAAAATTCTTTGAGGCTGAGGATGAGTTTTGCCAACTAGCAAAATTTGGCAGCCAATTCCAAAACTGAGCCCACCTTCCTCCATTGTTCACGTGATTTTGCTTTTAGGGTTAGTTTTGTTTTCTTCCTTTCTTTTCTCTTCAATCACTCATTATATCCCAAAAAATCTTGCATTATATAACCTGCATGCTTATCATTCAACTCAAACTCAACTCATTCATTCATTCTCATTTTTCTTCCCACCAAAAACCATGGATTCCTCCAACAAGATTACTGCTCTTTTGCTCCTTTCCATGCTCCTTCTTGCCACTGCCAACCCAACTCTTGACTGTGGCGCTTGCGAAAAACCCCACAAGAAGAAACCCCACAAGCCCAAACCTCCGGTCACCCTTCCTCCGGTCACATTGCCTCCGGTCACCCTTCCACCGGTTGTCAAGCCACCAATCAACCTCCCCCCTGTCACCCTTCCACCGGTCGTCAAGCCACCAATCACATTGCCTCCGGTCACCCTACCTCCAGTCGTCAAGCCACCAATCACATTGCCTCCGGTGACCCTACCACCGGTCGTGAAGCCGCCAGTCACATTGCCTCCGGTGACCCTTCCGCCAGTCACAGTTCCTCCGGTGACCGGGTCGCCGAAGACACCGTGCCCATCACCACCGGTGGTTAAGCCGCCGGAAACATGCCCAATAGACGCGTTGAAGCTGGGCGCATGTGTGGATCTGCTTGGTGGGCTGGTGCACGTTGGGCTTGGTGATCCAGTTGTAAATGAATGCTGCCCAATTCTTGCTGGACTGGTTGAGCTGGAAGCTGCGGTTTGCTTGTGTACCACATTGAAGCTCAAGCTTCTCAACCTTCAAATCTTTGTTCCCATTGCATTGCAGCTGCTTGTTACTTGTGGAAAGACTCCACCTCCTGGTTACACTTGCTCTCTCTAGATCAATTCATCATCAATCATCATCATTCCAGTTAAGTCTTATACTAATTTCATTATTCATCTTTTCTGCTTTTGCCCCTTTTTTTGGGAGGGTTTTTAATTGATGATATTGTTGGCCTTTTCTAGTCTTTATTATGGAGTACTAATGGAAATAATCATGAGTAACCAGCCAGTCACCTGAAATAAAGTTAGGACCTTTTGGCATGCGTGCGCCTAATGAATCTACTAATTTATTAATGATATGCTAATAAAACAGGTGTTAAATGGATACGCACGCAATAGTTAATATATATACAGTGACGGAACCAGATTTTTATTATTGTAAAAGGATCATGAAAGAAAAAAATACTCCCTCCATCTCAAAATGGTTAGTTATCATGTAGATATTAGCGAGATTTAGTGGACCAGATATGGTTCCAAACCAAAATTAGCATAAATAGCTCTAATATTGACTATTTGAACAATAATAAGTAATAACCCTACATTTTATTAATCGATCTTATTAGCTTCTTGGGGTTAAAAGGGACCTAAAAAGTTAGATGCTCATGATTTGGGGATCTAAGTAACAATAATGTCATTTTGTAAAATCGAGTGTTGTAGATTGTTGAGTGTTGATTGCTGAATGGAATCTAATAAAAGATTTTTGGTGTTTTGCAGGTGGCTAGCTAGCTAGAATTGATGGATGCAAAGAAAATGTTATTGTCGACATGAGAGGATGTCGAGTTACTTTCCTTTTTACCTTTTATTTTTCTTTTTTCATTTTTATGTTTTTTTTTCTTCGTACTGTGTTTGTTTGTAAGTGTCGCGTTGTTTTAGGTCTTTTCATTGAACAAGAGAATTCATTGAATTGGATGTGTATTTAATTCATGTGTGCTTTGTAATCTTTCGATCGTAGGCAAGGAATGAATGAATGAATTAAGATTTCATATGCTTAATTTCGTTGTTCTTTATAAATGGAGCATATTTTTGCGTCAAACTCTCGAGGATGTATTTACATTATTCAAAAACTCGCTCTGCGTTTATGCATGCAAGAACATGCACGTACCAATTACATTGAGAATCATAAACATAAACTCCATCTGTTCCGCTTTCACAATTCACCCTTTTTTTATTAATTTAATTTCACAAAATAAACTATTAAAATGGGAGGGATAAAATACTTAAATTCACTACCCTTCTTCCAATTTCTATGAGCTTAACGTGTTCAAAAAGAAAAATTTAACTGTCAGGTTAACTGTATATCTTTAAATTGTTTTCTTGCATACAAATGGTCCAATCATTTCTAGAGAATGGTATAAAACTGTCGGTATTGAAAACTTTTTGAAGAAAGCCTATATACTAGCAGTATAAATTGTGCAGTATCAATTTTTTTCATAGACAATAATTTAATTAGGGGACCATTACCCTAGTCGGGAAGGCACATGAATTTGGTTTGTCTTCTTTCCCAACACTCAATATGTGGTGTCTGGTTTTATAAACCATATATCTCTTGCTTCGCCCTGCCATTTATTTGACGTACTGCTTGTTTTCTGTATCACAGTGTTTGATTATTGAAGAACCAAGATATACATACATATATTATATATATATATATATATACGTATTTACGCACACGATCCTTTTATCTTAATGTATGAGTTTTATATTAAAGCCAGATTTTTTATACACAGAAAATAAATTTAGAAGTAAAGTTCAATAGAACAATTATACGATTAATTATATTGTACGGATATGTTACTCTAATAAAGTCATGACGAAACAAATGCACAATCCCAAGTACTGTAGTATCTAAAATCTCTACCCCAAAGTCCGAATTCAAAAAGTCTGTTGCTTAAATTAATTCTATATTAACAGCAATTTTCTAATACTTGAAAATGCACTTGTCTGTGTGTGTGTGTGGGTCAACATTTCTACAAATTAGAAAGCAGAAACGAAAAACAAAACGGTAAATTAAGGATAAAGATTCACGCTTTTGTGCGTATTTACTTATAGTTTTGTTTTCTTTTTACCTTCCATAAGGTTTTGGATCCTCTTACGTGTAAGAGAACAATTATTCCAGACAAGTAAAAATGAAAACATTTCCTCTTCTTCTTCTTCTTTTTCTCAGTCAATCTCATTTCTTTCAATCAAAATCAACTTTTTGACAATTAGACATAGTAGATTACTTATAGGAAAAATGGTTTAAAATGAAAACCGATTGAAGTCTATGTGTTTTTTACAATTTCTGTTTATTTTTGGCAGTTCCTCACTTTTTGTGTTCCATTTACTTGGCACAAAAATTAGCTCAGTTTCTTTTTTTTTTTTTTTTGGGGTGGGGGTTGTTGGAGAATCTTGAATTAGGCAGAATATCGAACTCGACTTCACGTTATTTTTTTTCTCATCAAACTAATAATGATCTTTTCCATAATTTTTAAAATCAGAGTTTTTTTTTTTTTTTGAATACAAAAGAAGCCCAGGACTTAGAATTTACAAAGCATCCCTATAGGTGTGGGATGATCGGACTAAGTCCGTATCTAACTTCTCCATAATACTAGATGGAGGCGTTGACAAAATGTGAGACCCAACCGGGCACGAAAAGCCCAATTTTGCCAAAGCATCCGCAGTCTTGTTGCAATCCCGTCCCGCGAATTGGACTACTACTTGTCAGTTGAGTTCTAAAAGTTTCCTAACTCTATAATACATATTGCTATTAACAAACGAGAAGCCCTTGTTTGACGAAAGATCAACGGCCTCAAGGGAGTCCAATTCTAAAATTATATGTCTAAGTCCTAAATCCCAGGCTATTTTAAGGCCGAAGAAAGCTCCCCAGAGTTCCGCTTCCAAAACTGTGCAGAAACCAACATTAGCAGCAAATCCAATGATCCACTCTCCCTCTGTTGATCTGATTAGTCCGCCAGCTGCTGCTTTTCCTGAGCTCTGTATTACCGCCCCGTCAGTATTGATTTTAACAAAGTTCTGAGGGGGAGGTTTCCAGACTGAGTGGAGCGACACACTTCTTTTACCAGAGTTCCACCCCGTCGGGTTTGGGGGCCTTGTGACGCTCCGGTGGGCAAAAATCAAATTGGAGCGACACACTTCTTTTTTACCAACGCAGCAATTGACAATTTTAAGCCTCTGATTTCGACGGTTACGTCATTGAGGACTTCTTCATTCCTGGCTTTCCACAGTTTCCAAGCTGCTATCGCGAACCACATAGTCCATTTCTGGTTATCTTGCATCAAATTGGAATTTAAATTAGCAATTATCCAATCAGGCCAGTTCGAAACGTACCAGAAGTCTGCATCCAAATTTGAGGAGATGCTATTTGAGGAGATGCTACCCTACAGTTCCCTTGCTCTGAAGCAGTCCCTAAATATGTGGAAAAGCGTTTCATCCTTCCCACATAGATGGCAGCCCCATCATCCGCGATATGTTTCCGTTTTCTTTCAGTGTTTGTCATCAAAACCCCTCTCAGCAGCAACAAGAGAAAAAGTTTGATCCTTTTAGGACCTTTCCAATCCCAAACCAGGTTCCATCTTTTATCTTCCCTGTCCCAACACTCCTCACTGAGAAGGCTGTAGGCCGATGTAGTAGAGAATTTGCCCGATTTTTTCAGCCGCCAAGTAGGACGGTCAGGGCCCAATCTGTAACCTGGAGGAGGAATTGTTCTAATTTTCTCCATAACACTATGGGGGAGCAAGGGAGATAATACCTCCCAGTTCCAGTTGCCATTAGCATCAATAAAGTCCACTTTCTTGCACCGCAGACTGTGTGGGATCATTACTGTAGTCTGAAGAAGCAGCGGGGTATGTGAGTTGTCCGCCCATATATCCTGCCAAAAACATGTTTTTTCTTCATTCCGGATAATCCACCTCACACTTTGGTTGTTTCACTCCACAATTTGAAGAGCTGTAACCAGAGATGGGAGGCCTTGTTAGTATTCAGTACCCCTGGGATTTCATCAGCTGGCAGGTTGTATTTCGCTCTCAAAACCTGCTTGCACAGACCATCTTTCCCATCAATTAAGCCTCATGCTATTTTAATCATAAGTGCCATGTTGAACTCCCTCATCTTCCTCAGTCCGAGACCCCCTCTTGCTTTTGTTTGGCAAACGGTGTCCCATTTAACCAGGCTAGTATGCCTTTCCCCGGGTTTGTTCCCCCATAAAAAACTACGACAGACTTTGTCGAACTCGTCGGAAATCCCCTTTGGAAGCAGTGAAGACTGCATTATATACAAAGGGATTGCTGAAAGGATCGACTGGCAGAGCGTGAGTCTTCCAGCTAATGAGATTCTGTGCTGATTCCAGTTTGAGGCCCTTTGCTTGGCTTTAGTTACCCAGTCCCCGTACAAATCTTTTTTTACTCTTCCGTGTATAATTAGGGTCCCAAGATACTTACCAATGTTGCCGACCCTTCGAATGCCCAATAAGCTGCTGAACATGTCCATCCTGTTGCTATCCAAATTTGGGGAGCAGAAAACATACTTGTCTTGGCTTATTACCTGGCCAGAGGTTGTACCAAAAGAAGCAAGAGTGTCCTTTATCACTGCAATCTAGTCCATACTCGCCTCCGCAAACAGAAGCAAATCGTCCGCAAACATTAGGTGTGAAAGTTGGACTTCTTGTGTTCCGAAGCTTAACGGCTTCCATCTGCCGGCCTTAACCTGTAACTCAATCGCCTGGGCCAGGCGCTCCATGCAAAGGACAAAGAGATACGGTGAGACCGGGTCCCCTTTCCGTACTCCTCTATTTGGTTTAAATTCCTTTCCTATATAGCCGTCCCAAAGGATGTGGGTTGATCCCGAATAAAGGGAACTAAGTATCACTCTTCTCAGCAAGGACGGTATTCCAGCATCTATAAAGGTGTCATCGATAAAATCCCAACAAACTCGATCGTAAGCCTTTACGAGGTCAATTTTCAACTCCACCCTTTTGCCATCCGCATTGAATGTATTGCTTCCTGAGCTATCACTATATTATCCACAATGCTACGTCTCGGGATGAAGCTTGACTGAGTCGGGGCGACTAGCTTGGACAAAACCCTCCGCATCCTGTTTACAACCACCTTGGCAATGATCTTTGCCGATACGTTAATCAAGCTTATTGGACGGAAGTTCTGAAATTGGTCCGGGTTCTTAATCTTCGGGATAAGCACAATCAGAGCTTTATTAATCTCTGTCAGCACCTCACCCAAAGTAAACACCTCCTTCACCATCTTACAGACTGAGGACCCAATTACACTCCAGTTATGCTGAAAAAAGCTTCTTTTGTATCCATCCAAACCCCCCATCTTATACTTGTTCATTTCAAACACTGCATTCTTAATCTCTTGTCTCTCAAACTTTCCTATTTAAAAAGGCATAATCCTTCTCTGATAGCAAAGGAAAACGTCCTCTTACCTGATAGGGAAAACGCCCTCTCATCAGAGTTACTTGATGGTTGTTTTTTGTTATATTTAGGTTTTCAACCAAGGTGAAGGCCATCTTTATTACTAGTTTATAATTGTTGGGTCATTTTTTCTTTTTGATGTTTGAATATCACTGTGGTCTGAAGCACTCCATTTGAAGGACATAAAAGGTGTTGACTAAAAATTTTATGTTTGTTTCGTTGTTTTTTAGTGTGTGTTTTTAATTTTTTTTTTATTATTATTGATAATGTAAAAAAGCGTATTGAAAATGTAAAAAGATATGTTGAGATGGAACATTTAATAATAAAATAATCTAAAAAAACCAACTAAAAAAGAAACAAACTAGCCTTCAACTCAAATGCTGTAGTGATTTTTTCTCAACTCTTTAAAGTTGTGCTTTCCTTGAGGCACCGCCGTTCACTAGTCATTTGTCATTACCAGTATTCCGGATATCTAAACCATTTTTCTTAAAAATTCAACGTTTTCTTTAACATTACTTCCTCATAATTTCTTATGCTCTACAATTCAATGGTTCTAAGATTACAACATTGAGGCCCAAATTTAAGAATTTTCACAACATTTCGTTAGCTATCTAGGACAGCGAATAGGGAAGACATAATATAGCATGATAAAAATCGACACCTACAAGTAATGAAAAATTGCTTTGATTGATGATGATGCTCTCTCCCAGTGACACAATGCCCGTCTCCTCTACAAATTCAAATCTTTTTAACTACGTCAGGATCTAAAACACATTTTTCCCTGAATCAGGAAAACTACATCTCAAATCTTTTGGAGGTGGGCATCAGAGACTAAACAAATATTCCCATCTACACCACCTACTATACTACAGCCTAACTGGAAAAAAAATTTTAAGAAAACAAAAACAAAAAACAAAAAAGAAAAAAGAAAATTTTTTGAAAGGAAGTTAAAGGGGGGAAAAAAAGAAGCTTATTTCCTGATTTAAAACTATATATATGTTACACATCCTTCCTCAAAAGGATTGCTGCTACCCTACCTGCTACCTCCGGGTAAGAAATAGGTTCGACAAGACTGACAAAAACACCAATACACCCTTAACATCCCCCCATCAACTGCTTCCCTCTAATGTCACAGAGCCAGGAAGAAATTTTACCCGACGATACTGCTTCAGCCTGGCTACAGCATTCTCAGTCCTCCCCTGCAGAACATCCAAGTAAACGGCAGTAACTATTACTTGCCCCTTGTCGGGTAGTATAGATAGAGCTTGGTCTATAAAGTATTGGGCGCGCTCAATATCTCCTATGCAGGCACACCAAGCAGCTTGATTAGCAAAGACAGCTCCACGTGCTTCTTCAGGCTTGAGGAACAACTTAAAACCTTCAGATTCATCAGATGCTTCAGCAGCTACAGGCCCACCGCTTATGTCCTCATAATCCACTACTTTTTCCACTCTCCACTTTTCAAAGTCATCTTGGGTATACGGCAACTCGACATTGTCCCCACCATCCACGTACGTACGCAAATGCTCAGCAGCTTCCTTTGGCCGGTTGAGATAGCATAATGCCTCAGCTGCATACATGTTCCCAAGAAACAGATATATTTTGGTACACTCCGAGAGTTTCAGAAGGGACATTGCAGCAGACAAAGCCTTCAACGGGTTCCCCAGTTGTAATTCTACATAAGCCATATCAGCAAGAACAGCCTGTTTGATCAACTGGTTTTCTTTTCTGCAGATATCTTCATAATCACTTACAGAGTTCAATAGAGGCGTGTTTTGACCAATCCCGTTCTTCTGTTCTTTAACCTCTCCATTCATGTTCACCTGACTAGAGCCTTTTTCAGTATTGGATCCCTTAGAATCACTGCCGATGGCACTATTGGATGGCAATAATTCTCCTGATTCACTGCTTTCAGCAGCAGAACATGGAACCACGTCAGAACTCGAATTTTTCAAATCAGAACTTTCAAGCAAGTAAAATGCATTAAGAAGACATTGTCGGGCTAGAGTTACTGAAAGGACAGGTGGTCCATCACTACTGAAAGAAAAATCTTCCTTTCCAACATAATCCGACTTTCCAGCTCTTGAATCCAGCAATGCAAGTTCTCTCAATTTTCCCTGACCCACGACATTCACTTTAACATCAGATCCATCAGATGTTGAATAATTAGACTTCAGAAGTCCTTTCTCCAGCGCCATAAGGCAACACTCTGCAATTCTTAGCCATAGAACAGGCTTCTTGTAAGAGACTAGACTAGCTCTGTGAAAATAGCGAGCTGCAGGTAATGGTTTCCCAATTTCAAAGAAAGTCAAGCCACAATTATACAGCACCTGCGTGGACTTATCCTGTGAGAGAGGGGCAAGCTTCCGAGGTTTTTCCTTTCGCAGAGCTACAATATTACTCAACGCTTTGGAAAACATTACAGATGAGCTATGATACTTTCCAAGACGATAATATATGCAGCCAAGGTTGTTGTAAAATATGCTAGATATTCCCGCTTCACTCCGATTACCGGATGCCATCAATAGCTTAATTGCTTTGCGGTGGTTTCCGCGAGCATACTCAAGCTGTGACTTCAAATAGAGCGCCATTGTATAATCTTTGCCACGTGCAATATTCATAGCCATCTTAACTTCACGCTTAGCAGCCTTGAGGTTCCGCATGAGGAGCAAGAAACTAACCTTGTAAAGATGTAATTTAAGCCTCAGATCCATGGTTGAAAGAGAATCCTCAATTTGATTCTTTGCAGAATCATTAACAGACTGGAGGATGGGCCTGGACAAATTATCTCCCCCTATGGTCAGGGACGACAAAAGCGATTCATCTTCGAGCCCCTCATCTGACAATGTTCTAGATAAAGAACTTTCTAATGCACTTGCTGACGGCCCTGAATCAGAATTCGATGTATCAGGAATAGAGGGAAGTGAAGACTTTGACATGATATTAGACTGATGCGAGGAGTTCCCATTGTCTACTTGGTTAGTCAACCCACCGGCACAAAACACTTTCTCCATGTAGCTAATCACATCCTAAAACAACAGATCATAATTAATCAAGCCAAACAAGCAAAGTTCTAAGAACTTCAGAATTACAAAGATACCAATAGTACACAAAACTACAAAGCTAAAATTCGACTCAATTGACCATAACAGAGGCCACAAACATAGCTTTTGCTTATGTGAGCACAATATTTACACGGGACGGTGATGTTTCGGTCAAAACTTCAGAAAGTAGATTAGTAGAACATTGCAGAAGTGTTTCATAAAGAAAGGACACTTGAACTGCTACAGAAACTACATTTGAATAACATCCCGTCCCCAACATTACTAAGATATCAAGACAAAAGGAAGTAGGGAAGCTGAGGTGACATTATTTAGTCTTAAAGCAAACTTGATCCCTTGTGACCCAGGGAGTATATCCTGAGAAGTATGAAATTTAAAAACAAAAGACAACTGAACAAACCAATCGAATCCAATAACACCACTCAAATCACAAATGAAACTGAAGCCAAAGTGAAAATAAGGCCTTGATGCCTCAGTACATGGGCAGGGACCCAAAATGTCCCAAACAATGATAAAAGTCAAAATTACTAACCTAAAGTACAGCAAAAGTAACATTAAAGGAACAGATACCTAGAACATATGATATCCTAACAATTTACTAATCTATCTCCACTGAAATGCTTCAGACCTAAGTACCAAAAGTGAAAATAAGACCCTGAGTCTCTTCCCTATCTCTTTCTCTTCACCATTTATCATATAAAAAATTGTCAAGTACCAAAAGTAAGTGACCACGACAATAAGTAGGCCGTGGCTTAAAAGTTTGAGTTACAGCATATCTGCTTGAGGAAAAAAATAGTCATTTACTAATAAGCTAGTAACACCATTCATCTTCCAAAAAAAAGTCATACTACTATTTCATGTGGCCTTAGCGATGTAAAATGCATGCCTCCGAGCAGACAACAAACTTGTCACCACATCCACATTAACGCTAACCACTATACAAAATGAACTGATACTAAAATCTTCGCAAAAAGAAAAGGAATATTTATTGCACAAACTTACAGCAGCCTTGGATGCATTGTTGGAAACTAAAGCTACATCCAGCAATAGAAGGCAAATGCGAAGAGCAGTCCCCTGCAAGCACTCATATTTATATATTAGTTCACACATGCACCATAAAACACCCACATTCTTGCTCACTCGGACACACCATAGGATCTTAGAATAAATTACTTACCTCATCTAAGGGTTCGATATTCTGATAAAACGAGTCCAAAATAGCATACGATTTTGCATATTCATGGAGATGGAACCAGATAACTGCCTGAAAATACACACAATAACTAAGATAATCAATCACACAGAGACATTTCAATCTCTCCAAACAAAAAGATTACCATAGGTCAAAGTTAGTCGTGGGATTAAAGCTCCCTTACCATGTTAAACATTGCAATAGAAGTATCGTATTCGTCACTGTACACAACAGGCAAACCGCTTGAGGAAGAAAATGAAAGAGCAGTATTACTATTTCCTTTATTTCCAACTGTAGCCTTGCTAGTATTCCCACCAGATTCTGATTGTTGCTCTTCAGAGGCACGAGCAAGTTCTTCACTTCGTTTCTGTAATGAAAACAAAAGCTAGTGAGTGGAAACAAACCCAGCATACACAAATAAAAGAAATTTGCAGCTAACTTAAGACCACCTGAGCTTAAAAATGAGCATAACAATTTCTAGCCTCCTAAAAAAATAGTAATTTATTACTATATTAACACAAGCAATGGTACATATATTGCTGATACCAAAGTAAAAGCACCGAAACATAAAATTTAACTAATTCTTTGCGTCCACATAGTATCATCAGAAACCACAAGTTTTAAACTTAATATACCTACGAAAAGCTACATGTATGGATCACGACAAAGGCATCAAGACGTAGAGAGCATAACAAGGCTTAACTATGGTAATCCTTGTTTTACAACTAACATTAACATAGTCCAATTTGAATTGCTCATGTCTTCCCACTATGCCTTGCTAAAAGAAGTTTAGCTTCCTTCGAGATAAAAGCAGAAGAAAAGCATATAAGTGCACCTCAAAGAATGCTTGTAGCAATATAGCATAGACATTCCCCAAATTACACTGAGACGTAAACAGAAGAGAACAAATTCTAAACGAAAAAAATAGTTTGACTTATTCATAAGGTACTGAAAAGTAATGAAAGGCATGTTTTCAAACTCCCCAACTCAACTACGTAACAACTGTAATTAGAAATATACTACTATTGAGAATTAGTGACAATTTGGGAGCAGAAATGGTTAGGCAATCAAGCAATAATTCTTTCACATTTACACAACAAACATAGAAGCATCTCAGGAGTTTTAAGAATGGAAGCATACCAACAAAGTGAGAAAACAACCCATTACCGTGCAATCACATCTTAAAATCTCTTGAATAACAAAGCAATCACATACCTTGACATTATTTAATACTTCAAGAAGCTTTTTAGGATCTGAACAACCATCTTGAAAGCTCTCCGCAATAGCAATGTTGTGAATAATCTAACATTAAAAAAGAAAAGTTTGAATTAAAAATTGTGATGGTTTCACCTCAACATGAACCCACTGACAAGAATTTAACCAGAATTTAAACCAATAATAAATGCATGGGACTAGTATTTAAAAAAATGAACATGGAAGTATGACAATAACCAAAATAATAGAATGACGACCAGATAGTAAAGCACTGATCTGTAAGATAGCTTGACACAAAAATTTAGTTACTAGGAAAATAAATGGGTCCTATTCCGCATTTCCATTCAGTGTGAAATTACAAAAGGAATAAGACACCAGATTAGGAAGTATAATGCAAAGGCTGAACAATCAATCAAGGAATTAAAGCTGTGATCTTCTAGAAGACATCCATATCGGTTTATTTGCATCATTCACGACAGCTAACGGTTCCCATAAACCACTAGAAAGAAAACAAAAAATGACAGCATCCATAAGATAGGATTATAGAACCAATCTTCATGAAGGAAAGCGATTCAGCTGGTATGAATCAAACTAAATAAGCATATTAAAAGACATAATGATCCCTCCTAATGGGTATGGATATGAATAGTTTAGCAGCCAGGACAAACAGTTGTACAACTGTGCAATACTTGTTAATAAATCATTGGAGCAGGCTAAAGCATCAACAATAACGAAGGACACCATAAACCCTTCTATAAGCCAGGAGTAAGCAAAACATTCTTTATCTATCAGATAAATAACTACTCTTTATAAAACCAACCACACCTTGTCTGGTATATTCTAGCAATATTTCCAAGAGGTCTAGGTAATAAGACACAACTACGATTAATATCTGCAAAATAGACTTGAAGCCTTGATTTTTAGTGCTGAGACACTTAGGCTACCAAAACCTCACCTATCCCTTAATCTATCAAATAATTATAAACTTTTACTTCTGACAGTCTAATACAGTAAAATCGTCATGCAGACATGCAGTATACCAAGCTAGACCTTATGTATGTGCCAGTAAGAAAACAGTTCTACAATGAAATTGCCACTTGGCAAATCCAACAAAACGCTCTTCCCCAATTAAATCATTTTCTTTTTGACTTTCTTCTCTTTTTTTTTTGGCAGAAAACAGGCCTGGGGCCACATAATATATTAACAAACAAGTGAAGTTGCTCGACCATGAAACATGGGGTTTCATCAAACATCTCCAAGTCCCTAAGAAACCTGGATTATTAAACCTTTAATAACAATAGTAGTAAAAAAAAAAGCATGGACTAAAAATAAAGTTTCAGTCACAACAAATGAAGCTGAATAAGTTTCATTCACTTTGGTATGCACTAACTAAGTTCAATAACCAAATCACACTAAAAAATAGTGCACATAAAAACTTCTTGACTAAGGATTGCGGCAAGAACAAATAGAGGATTTAAAAAAAAAAAAACAAATACTCAAGAAGGCATAGAATATCAATAACCTTTGGATCGTTCTCTTTCTTTTGTAATAGCTGATTCAAAAAGTGAACGCACTCGGCAAACTTCCCGGACTGAAAATGCAGTAGCGCCTCCTTAGCGAGCCCCGCATGTACGGAAAAAGCCATATCGTCCTCTGACGAGCGGGGCGAAGCAGCAATCGGGGACAAAGCACCTTCTCTGTTATTGTTATTACTTTCCGGAGCGGCGGTCGGCGTGGCCGCCGGCGAAGGCATCGAAGAAGAAGAATCCATTTTATCTATACGACTCTCACTGACTGACACAGATCGAGTATGAAAGTAAATGGAAAAAATCGAAAACGAAAACAGAATGTACTGAAGCTAATCCAAAAACCCTATTTGTTCCTACTTAAAACCCCTCCGGCGCCCGCACTTGACTCCCCACACATTTGAATCTAAATTGCGGGCAATTGCTACACAAAAACCCTAGAAATTTGGGATACAGAATTAGATTTATCTGAACAAATAAATATACATATACACACCAGGCGTATATATCTCTTTAACTTCTGTATCGATTAGAACTCAGTTGATTAAGGAGGAAAAACGGACAGTGAGAGAAACTGAAAATCTAGAGAGAGAGAAAGGAGAAGAAGGTATTGCGTGTATGTGTGTGTATTTTTGGTGAGGGGCCTGGGTCAGGGATGGGGATGGAGAGATGGGGTTGGGTTCCTTCTTTCCCTTTTTTTCCCTCTTTTTCTTTCTCATTTTTTTTATTTTATTTTATTGTGTATTTATATTTAATGTTTAGGGCAAAACAATTTAGTTTGTATGCTGATTTAAAAAAAGAGTGAACCTCAAAACGGGTGATTGAACTATTAGCTAATTCTAATACAGGTCATTAATTAAATTTATTTATATAAATGATCACTCTATTAAGCAAAAAATTATTCCGAGATCATTCTGTTAATTTTGACCGTTAAATAGTGATGGAAATCTATTTTCACATGTTTTTGGATTCAAGGGTATTTTTGTCATTACTATTTTTTAATTTTTTAATCTTTTTCTTTTTTTTTTTTACAATTCATCTTCTTATACTTCCTAACTTGTATATATTGGTAGTATAATTTCTAAATTTCAAAAATTCGTTTAACTTTTGTATTTTAACTTCTAGATTATAAAATTTTAAAAAAAATTTAAGAAATGAAGAAGAAAAATTCGAGTTAAAGTAAGCATGAAAATTAATAGTTTACCATTTTTAACTAAAAGAAAACTAAAAAAAAATAGCTAATACAAGTTGGTTCTTCTAGGTTATTTAATTTTTTTCAACTCGATCGAATTATTTAATTATTAATTTTCACGTTAACTATATATAATAATAACCTAGAAGAATTAATTCAATCGAGTTGAAAAAAATTAAATAACCTAGAAGAAACAACTTGTCCTAACTACTTCTTTTAGTTTAAAATAGCAAAATATTAATTTTCATGTTTACTTTAACTCGAATTTTTCTTCTTCATTTCTTAACTTTTTCAAAAAAATTTATAATCTAGAAGTTAAAACACAAAAAGAAAAATAATTTTTGAAATTTAGAAATTATACTACTACTCTACTAGTATATACAAGTTAGGAAGTATAAGAAAAAGAATTATGTAAAAAAATTAAAAGATTAAAAATTAAAAAATAATAAAATGACAAAAATATTCCTGAACCCAAAAGCATGTGAAAAGTGGATTTTCATCACTATTTAACTGTCAAAATTAACAGAATGATCTCGGATGAACTTTTTGCTTAGTATGGTGACCTATTATATAAATAAATTTGATTGATGACCTGTATTAGAATTATCTAATAGTTGAATGACCCGTTTTGAGGTTCATTCTTTAAAAAAAAATAAAATCAAAGTACTTATGAATTAATAATTTTAGTTTTGATTTTGAGCTTGTAACAAAAAGATACCCCTTTTATCTCAAAATTATGGTGCAGTTTGGAATTTCGTTCTAATTCAATTTGTATTAAAACTAAACATTCAAACTGGACAATAATTCCAGGACTGATGCAGTAATAATGTTTACTAATGTGATGATTTGGCTCTTCGGTTCACCACAACATATATACTTCGTCAAGAATAATATATTATTAATTTACTGTATTTTAAACTGCTAAGTCATATCGGTTTCTCATCGAATGCTTATTTATGTTTATGCACACATGGATCCTAATGTTACAAATTACCGTAAATCGTTATGCATGAACTTACTACTTATCGAGTAGTCTTTCATTCAACAGCAAACCGTTACTTCTTATTGAATATGATTTCAGATGCTGCAAATTTTTCATGTGTGCAGAACGTTTTTGTTTCTATGGTGATTTTTTTAAAAAAAAATTGGATGCTTATGACTTACCGTTACTTTTAAATTTTGATTTTGACTCTATTTTTATAAAAGGTAATAAAGTCACTAAGGTGATTTAATTAAACTACATACAGTAGAATATTTATAAATTAATAATCGATACATTAATAATTTTCTCTGTTTCTAAGTTGGGACCAGTACAAAAGAAATTGATAAAATAATAAAATCATCATTTTTTAGAAAACTCCTATTTAAACATAGGCCCGTCTCATAAATTAATAATGACTTAAAATATATAAAAGAACATTAGGAGCTGTAAAATATGAATCTAGTAATATATGTTTTTTTGTTGAAATTTACATCTAAAAAGGGATTTCATTTTTTATTTTTTCCATTGCTTTCAAAAACTCTGGTGTACACTTTTCATATTGAAATAAAAAATTTTGAAAAATTATTGCCCCATTAAGTGCTTCATTGCGTGTAATTGGTTTCGAAAACACTGAATCATCATCATTTTCATACTTACGTCATTATTTTAGTAACAGTAACCACAATGTCTCCGAAAATTTTATTAACTAACTGTAAATTTATCGATAAATTAAAATATTTTATTGTACTCCTCATTAATATATTGACTTACTATAAATTTGATTGTCATGTTGTAACGATCCCTAATTAGATGCTCCTCTTATTTGTTCATGTATGTGGGGCGTTGAAATGAATTAATCACGTCCGATAATGATTTATACGAGATTATAAACCATCACATCTAGATTTACCTATTGTTTAATTGTTATACTTTATCGGTCTCAAAATTATTATTCAATTTGAATTTTCACTTTTAATTTAATTTATACTAATAAAAATTCAAATTGGATAATAATTTCAGGACGGAGGGAAAATCATATACGTTAGTATCTTATATGATCGCGAACATTGTTTTATTTTTATTGGTTTAACCAAATTTAGATATTTTGTACATTTAGCAATTAATTACTTGCACACAATCCCGCATATGAAAATATATGATTATTTTCAAGTGAAATATATTACTAACTCCATCTTAAAAAAAAGTCCACATTGAATTTTCAAATTTGTACTGTTTTTAGTTCAAATTTCAAAATGTGATAGTAACTAATATGGCAAATGTCGAAACACAAAACTATCACTTGTATACAAACAATTATTAGTAGTGTAATTATATTATTTTGCATTTCATTTTTTACTGTATCATTTCTTTTTCTTTTTCTTTTTTTCCTTCTATGCAGCTACTATTCGATGAAAATTGTGCAGCTATAAACATAAGGTAGACAAAGTCATATTTTTACTGATAAAATTACTAGCTATTTGGAGGAGGGCACGATATTTTTTTATATAGTTAGTATGTTGTTGCACTAAACTAGGGACAAAGTAGCCGTACAGTAGAAATTTTCATTTTATTATTACATGTCTAAGTATTCATATATTATTTACTAGATGTTAAACCCGCGCAGGGTAAACATAAATATATTTATGAATTATTTTATAAATATTCAAATTGAAAAAAAATTACAAAAATCATCAAATTTTAAAAGTAACAAAATTTTCTTTCAGTTTATGCATGTGAAGAAGAAATAATTGTCATGCATGATACAACTTAGGATGAGTCGACATAAAAGAGGGTGAAAGATTAAGTTAAATAATATATATATTCTTTCTATCTCGAGATGATGTTCTAATTTAAATTTAATTATAACACAATTTATAATAGTAATAACTAATGTTAAAGTTGGTTCATATAATTGTGGATGTATAGCCTAACATTTTTTATTATTATTTATTATAATTATTTAGCTTAAATTTAAAATATGTTTTTGTTATTTTTTCGGGTTAGTGATTTGTTTTACCCATTTACTGTGTAAAAATTAGGAATAACAAAAATAGATTCTAATTTGGAAGAGTTTCATTTAATAATGATAATTAGTTTTGCAACCTAACAAATGCACATGAAATGAATCACTAATAAGGATTAGATTTGACTCCATTGTAATTTACTTTCGTCAATACTCGGTTGCTCATATATAATCTTACTGCCCTCTTAAATCTTATATTTCTTGGAAGTGTTTCTGGAATCTTATATGTCTTATACCTATGATAAGAAAACGATAACTAAAGCCAATATCAATTTTAATCATATTTAATCTGGTCACATGAGTAAGAAAAAAAAAGAAGCAAAACTTATTACAATAGGTAAGAAAATGTGAGTTTGTGCTAGAATTTTCAATTTGATATAACAATGTCTTAACATATAGGTACATAGTAATCAACCTCTTGTGTAAAATAATTATTAATGATTTAGGTTAATTTCAAATTTTGAATTTTGAAACAATTTTAGATTCTTTAAATACTGGGATTTGATTTCATAACTGTAGGTAAAAATTGATTAATTTTTAATAAACTTTTTGGCCATTATGGCTAATTAAAAATGATAATTGATAACTGATTGGAATATGGTAACGTAAATGGAATGCATCTCTTTTTGACCATTATAATTAAATAAAAAAATGTTAATATCGTATTCCAATCAATTACGTGGAGATTATTTTGGGGAGAAATTGTTTATTGTTTAGAATTGAAAGCCCATTTTTCCTCCAAAATAAATTCGTCGCATTGATGTTACATAATTCTCGTACATTAAATTTGATTAGTTTCTATAATTGAATTATCGTCTGGCCATTTTGAACTTATGATCTAAATCAATCTAGTAGTAATTGTGGAATTATTTTAGGGAGAGATTGGAGTATAATTAAGTGTCAAAACTTACCCAATTAAGTGCACCAAATATGGGATTAGGTTATTAATTATTACCGTGATTTTTGGGAGTGAGATTAATAATTATGGATATATTTAATATTAATTGATTTGGATAATTATGATGAATGCTTAATATGTTATTACTGATTTTTTTTAGGGGTTATTAGCCAAATGTTGAAACTTTTTTCTCTAAATTTTAAGAAATTGCCACGTAGAATTTTATCTTATGTGGCGTAACTTTTTTTTTTTCAAAAAATCTCTCTAATTTCTCTCTTATTATAACATACTATAGATAAATTGTTGCAATTTGTATAGTTTTGGTATTATGTGGATTTCTTAGCCGTGAAAGCATAAATTTTAAAAATTAATTGTTAGCTTTTTTAAAAAATTTGCCACATAGAATTTGTCCTACATTGCGCTATAGCATAATAGATAGTTCCTTCCTTTAGGTTAGTGAAAAAAATAAACCACTATTCTTTTTCCAATTTAAAGAGTTTTGAAACAAAAGAGGGTTAGAATAATGATGAGAGAATTGATCAAGTAGAGGTTTTATTTTTTTTATTTGAAATTTATTTTAAATCTTCATATAATCAATAGTTGTGATG